TAGTTATTTGACTAGCACACTGTAAAAAGTTATTAATATCTAATGTTCCATTGTCAAATAAATCCCATAAATATTCTATCATTTCATTTTTTTGAGTAATTTTATTACTCTCGGGACTTCTTATTTCCAAATTCAGCTCTAATGAAGTCTTTTCGATTTTTGCCAACTCCTGGAGTGTTGCAATACGTTCTGAAAATATGTTTAATAATTATTAATAAAATAATAATAATAACAAATAATAAATTAATAAAATAATATTAATTATAAATAATAATAATTATATCAATTATCATATTCAAGTATCAATTGTTGATTAACAATTTATCAATAAGTCCTTTTTTTTGTTAAAATAATTTTTTAATATTCAAAATTTTCTAATTTTTAAATACAAAATTATGACAAAAGTCTGTATATTTCTTATGAAAAAAAATAATTCGAGCTATGAATGTAACAGAAATTGAAAACAAAATTTTTTAATCTGAAATTCATAAAATTTTTAATTTATAAAATTTATTAAAATTAAACCGGTTTACATCAATACGCTCAAAACTATTTTTAGAATTCTTCAATAATTTATAAAGTACTTGAAGTTCAAAAAATTGTGTTTTTAATTTTTTCAAAAACATGATTTCTAAAATGTTTTTTTATTTTAGAAATTCATGAACGATTTACGAGTCTGGAAAGATTTTGAAAATAGTAGAGAGAGTTGCGTTTGTTTTCTTTTCAATAATGAAATGTTAACATTCATGTGAAAAAATATTTGTCTATTAAATCTATATTGTTAAAGAATCGACAAATGCAAGTTGAAAATTTGTAGGATCTTGTTAGATCAATAAGAAGTATTTTGGAAAATAGTTTGACCTAAACATTAGATGTCGGTCATAAATTTTTATTACTTTAATCAATTCTAATACTCATTCATTTTAATAATAACTGAAAACGAAGTTTTTAATATATTACGTTCTTCGACGGTTCGTAAAAGATATTCTTTGAATAAATTTGAGCCAAAAATTTAACGTATAAAACTATCTTGGACAATTTAAAGAAATTCAAAATTTTTTAAATTTGAGGTTTTTAAAAATATGACTTTTTGCAGACTCAATTTTTTGTTTCAAAATAAACCTTTAAGAACTTCGTCACTATCATAGTTTCTGAAATATTCAAAGAAGAAACCATATAACATTTGAAAAATAATTTTTTTTTCATGTGACAGAACTTTGTTTTATGTTAAAAAAAAACTTTGCAGCTAAATTTATCCCAAATCGAAAGAAAAAAATTGAACATGGAAGCCCTAGGTGTATTTTTTAGAAGATTATCAATATAACGAATACCTGTGAATTCCCAGATTGACGGATGCGAATCCAAGCTTTAATCGCAGTACTCTGTGGTAGGATTCAATGTTGTTGTTGGTCCTATTTACCTTTCGGTAACAGCTAAATCTTTCAGGTTTTACGGTTTTAAGCCAGTATCCTCTAAAATAACTTATTAATTCTTTTAACTCCTTAAAAATCTCTTTGTGATTATTAATGAGCCATTCAAAAGCTTTGTTGATATCGGTCGCTGGCAACAAGGCAAGACCTAAAAGTTTTCTGATAAACACTCTAACTTCTTCTCTTTCTTCAATCAAAGTATCTAATTTTAGAGCGATCGTTTTTTTAATTATTGCCTGTAATCATTAAATTTTTAAATTTTTTTACTGCAATCCCTACATAATATAATAGATAACAGAAAATATAAAAATATTGAACAGCAATATAGAAAAGCATTTTTTCAGATACGTATCTCGCTCATACTTCTTATGACGTTCAGTTTGCCTCAATATATGTGTATTGTTATAAATTGAAATATTTAGTGACATACAATTTCAAATTAATTGTATTTATATGAAAAGTACACCGTGTTAAATTTTAGTAACAAACTTGTAGCAAATTTTTTCAAAATGTGAATATTAATGGCGCTTAAGTTCTAAATATTATGTATGATAACTAATGATTGCGATCAGAAAATTAGGCTAATAAGATAGAATTCTAATTCACACTATTTCACTGTGCATTTGTCAGCTTCTCCAAGCTCTATATACATAAGAATTTAAACGCTACCTGATAAGTACTTTTTTTCATACCGATCGCCTCATATCATTTATCATAATTTGATTTTATGTAATTCTGTCTTAAAAAATTTTTCACCCATAATTTGTTTTAAGTTCATTTGTTTTTTGTTATACAGGTGAGGGCTACTGCTTAAACTGCGAAATCTGCGCCGAACAACCAGTAAGCATTATGTGGAATGCATGCAACCAGGGCTTAACGTGCAAAAGGTGTGCCGTTCGGATTGTCACAGCGGGAAATCAGTCCAGGATAACTGAAAGGACAAAATTACAATGCCCCCATTGTAACATTGAAACGGATGGGATGATAGAGTTTCAGTTGAGGAAAAAAAATAATAATTAAAGAATTTCTAATTGTTATTGCATGATTTACTTTTTTAAACAATTTCATTACTTTTTATTATAATTTTTTGTAATTAAAAAATTTAATTTATAAATTTAAATAATAATAAATAACTTTTAATGATAATTGCGGTTTGTATACAGTGCAAAGCAAATAATCAATAATAAAAATTAATTAAGGATTTTTAAAAATAATTCATTCTATTCCAAGATTTTTTTTTTATTCCAACATTTTTAATGTAACTAATTAATTTTATTTTATTACTATTATTATTGTTGAAAAATTTTTTTAGTATAATTAATTAAATTATCAATTATTAATTAAGTTAATTTTATCTGCAAAAATTGATCTGGTGCCAAAGCAAAACATCTTTGTGCATGAATTGTTCTTGCATCGGTCGCACTCAACGATGCTTTTCTTCTCCCCGCAGTAAGA